ACACACACACACACACACACACACACACACACACACACACCTATATGTCATATATATGTGATATGTTTATGTCTTAATATGATATATATTTATATTAATATATTTTATATATATATATATATATATATATGTGTGTGTGTGTGTGTGTGTGCCAGTGTGTTAAGAAATAGAGGCTATGAATTGACAAAACCTGAAGGTAACCAGGAGATCATGATGGGAGAGAGAAGGGAAGATGAGGTAAATACAGTACTTATATGAAGCAATTAAAAAGTAAGTAGACTTATTAAAATAATTAAAACATGGTAAAATGAAGACTTCTGAGTACATATTTTTCATTTTTATATATACTATATTTTATGGTATGGAGTTATATATTTAATCATTGCTAATTATACATTTGCTTCAGATTTGATCACTGTTCAAGACACATATGTTGATATATGAAGTTATGAAACTGTATAATATTTTGATTACCAAAATTGAAACAATGAATATACAATGAACTCAAGAAGCTAGCCACTAACACACCAAACAATTAAATTAAAAAGTGGGGTGCAGAACTAAATAGAAATTCTCAACAGAGGAATCTGAAATGGCTGAAAGACACTTAAGAAAGGGCTCAAAATCCTTGGCCATCAGAGAAATGAAACTCAAAACAACTCTGAGATACCACCTCACACCTGTCAGAATGGCTAAAATCAAAAACATCAAGGACAATCTATGCTGGAGAGGAGGTGGAGAAAAAGGAACACTACTCTATTGCTAGTGGGAGTGAGAACTTGTAAGACCACTCTGGAAATCAGTATGACGGTTGCTCAGAAAAATGGGAAACAGTCTACCTCAAGATCCAGCAATTCCTCTCTTGGGTATATACCCACATAATGCACATTCATACAACAAGGACACATGTCCAATCCCGTTCATAGAAGCATTGTTTGTAATAGCCAGAACCTGGAAGCAACCTAGATGCCCTCCAACTGAAGAATGGAAGAGAAAATGAGGTAAATTTATACAATGTAGTACTACTCAGCAGAAAAAAGCAATGGAATCTTGAAATTTGCAGGCAAATGGATGGAACTAGAAGAAACAATCCAGAGTGAGGTAACCCAGTCACAAAAAGTCAAACATGGAATGTACTCACTCATATGTGAATTTTATACATAAAGCAAAGGATTACCAGCCTACAATCCTCTTCGGCAAAGAAATTAGGAAAAATGAAAGACTCTAGGGGATAAATGCATGGACCTCAGGAATGGGAAGGGGCAGGAACTCCTGAGCTAATTGGGAGCATGAGGGTAGGGGAAAGGGAACTGCCAGAATGTGAACAGGAGAAGTGGAGAGGAGAGGAGGAAATGGAGGAGCAGAAATATTGAGTTGGCAGAAGAATAGAAGAGAGCAGGATACCATATTATAGGAAGCCATTTTAGGTCCAAGGAGAGATCTGGCACTAGGGAGATTTCCAGAGACCTACAAGGATGACATGAACTGACAATCCAGGCAATGGAGAGGACAACCTAAATGCCCTTCCCCTAAAATGAGATTGATGACTACTTTTTAAAGCCATCCTAGAGCCCTCATCCAGCTGCTGATGGAAGCAGAGGTAGAAATCCACAGATATACACTGAACTGAACTCTGGAACTTAGTTGCAGAGAGGGAGGAATGAAGAGTGAAGGGGTCAGTACCAGGCTGGTTAAACCCTCCGAAACAGCTGGCCAGTACAAGGGGGAACACATCAACCCCAGCTGTCTGGGAGGCCAGTACAGGAGTGATCCAGACCCCTGAACATGAATGTCAATGAGGAGGCCTCTGCACTCTAGGGGGGCCCTGGTAGTGGATTAGTATTTTTTCCTGGTGTAAGACGGGACTTTGAGAGCCCATCTTCCGTGAAGGGATACACTCTTGCCCTGGACACATGTGGAAGGGCCTAGGCCCAGCCCAGAGATGATGTGGTGGACTTTGCAGAGACCCTGTGGAGGACCCTACCCTGCCTGGGGAGTGGAGGGAGGATGGGGTGGGAAGTAGGTCAGGGTGAGGTATGAGGAGTGTGGGTGAGGGGAGGGAGAGGGAGAAGAGATTGACATGTGACACAAGCTTGTTCCTAATTTGAACTAATAAAAATAAAATGAAACAATGATAACCTCATTATTGTTGTACTTGAAGAAATTACCCTTCAATTGAACTTTATGGAAGACTTGATCTATGGCCACAGGGAGCAATAGATAGGCATTAAAGTGGGGGAGCATTAAGAGAGGTATCATGACTGTCATAGGCAGCTGTGATAAGGACCTAAAGGGAGATGCATCTTCAACTGCCAGGGTCCTAATAGACTTAAAAACATAATGCCATCAGAACGAGGTTTAAAAAGAGTGAAAGCCTTTAATTCTATAGGAAAATGGGCATTTCTGACTCTTATCAGGTTTTCTAAAGGGGTTGAGGAGACATTCCATGTTAAATAGCCCACATAACACAAGCCATGAAGACATGCCTATAAAAACAACTTGTACTTTATGTTGTCCCATAGTTATAAGCAGGGGGTCAGCTGGGGACCCAGCTCTGTGGAAGCTATAAAGCCACAGAATGTTTTCTTATCAACTTCACCCAGGAAAAGAGAATTGGGGGTTGGCTTGATGTCTGAGAGAGGAGGCAGTAAGTCAGAGGGTCTGAGATCTACAAGAAATGATTGTGGAGACTGGGGAGACCTGGAGTTACATATGGCCTCTGTAGAAATGATCAGGCAGTTACTGTCTAATTCTGTAGCCCTAAATGTCAGGGAGGAAGATGGAGTAATTTCCTGTTTAAGCTGTAGTCTTAAGCTGTAGTGGCAGGAGAAAAACTGGATCTTCATTCAAATTCAATAGGCATAAAGGAAGATATATTTCTTTCTTGGTTTTTATATCCTATGTATGACCTCAGTGGAAATGGTGTAGCTAAACTATATCAAGAAGAGTGGTCTAATTGTGGCTTTGGTGATTCAAATGATAACTTTTTATTTAGAACTCCCATGAGTTTGTCTAGAAAAGAAGATGTCAATTGTGGAACCATGTTGGACATTGTTGTGTAGATTTCCTACGAGGATTGAGCAAATATGCATTTGTCCTATGTAGGTCACCAGTGACTAAAAGATAAAAAATCCACCTATCGCTTGCTTAGGGAATCAGTGATTTTCCTGGCATTATTTAAATGGACTAGACTTAGGTAACTCAAAGGCATCTATGTCACCAAAAGTCCGGCACCCCTACATGCAGTGGCCTATGGAACTCTACTACAGCACCCCAGTGCATTATTGCAGGCAAGTTGGCTGGTTGTGGGTTCTCCTTTGCTCATCCGTTCTTTGTTTTTTATGATCTTTTCAATTCTGTACTACAGAGTCTTGTCGTTTTTGTTCCTACATCCAAATGTTCCAGGATGGTATTTTTCTGTTAGCATAAAGTAACTACAGAAAGGCTATTTGCAAACATTTATATTTAGTCTATTTTGGGATAAGAGAAAGAGATAAGACTTGGTGAGTTTGTATGTTTATAGAGACGAAAGTAAAAATGTTATTCAGGCTTTTATAACAGAATTTACCAGCTGCAAAAATTTTTAAGCTTTTTAAAAATGTTCATGTGCATGTGCTCTCCTATGTTCATCACATGGATAGAAGAGCCCAAAGCGGCAGAATAAAATGTCAGATTCCATAGAAGTGGAGTTACAGAAAATTGTGAGCTTCTACGTGGGTGCTGGGAACAAAAAATAAAGTCATCTACAGAACCAATATTGTTCTTAACCACTCAGCCACCTCTGCAGCAATTCTCAATTGTTCTTTTATTTTCAAAACTTGAAATCCTTCCTTGTTGACTTGTTTGTGGCCTATTGTAGGCATAAGGGATTACTACATAATAGGAAAAAGACACAGTTGAGAGACTTTGCTACAGATGCGACTAAATTTAATGAACTGGCAGGTACAGCCTGAACCTCTCCCTTAGACACAAGCTGACATGAAAAGTTGTCTGATGAAAGAATCACTATAACCAATGCTACAAGGAGTAGGAATGAAGGGCAGAATGGTCTGGCAGAGTGTGCAAGCAAACTTGGATTCTCAGGAGCAGATATGATTGACAGCTTGAATCATCCTCATAGCAATCCCTATATTCTACTCACTTGGAACCTGATGGTATATTACTCTATATTTAGTGATACGATTTCAAACAAAATGCATTTTACTTGGCTTTGAGAGATCTTTTTCTTTTTTTCCTGTGATAAAAGTTTCTTTGAAATTAATCCTACAAAATATATTTTTTCAAAATATAAGACATCCGTTTAGTAATTCACTATAAAAATAGTAAATAAATAGAAATGGCCCTTTTGTAATTTCAATTAAAAATAATGGAGAAAAATACATATAAAAGAGTTTTGAGACTCAAGACTGAGAAAATAAAGGAAATAATTTGGCATTTTGATACCTCTTTTAATGAAAATGAAATATAATTTTAAAAGGTATTAAGTAATGTTGATAAGTACATTCAAATGACATAAGGAAATAAAGGAAACTTTCAAACCACTATAATATACACAACTGTAGGAGAAAAGTCAAATGCATTTCTTGTCTTTGTGTAAAAGAAAGGTGTCTTCATAATTTTTCAATAAGAATCTAAAATAATATACATAGTTTTTTCTTTAAATAAAAGATATTTAATTGCAATCAGTCTTTAACAAGGAGTATGATATCAAGTTGGCTGCCTAGTCTGCCTAGTATAATCCTCCTTGTCCTTATTATTTTGTTGTCTTGTCATATTTCTTAGCAAGTTGAGAAAGACTGTGTTATTCATTGTCTGAGCAGAACCAAGAGCAGGTTGTTGCAACAAGGATTTAAATTCATCTCTTAGGGTGATGATCCTGATTCAGAGTTAATGATGAGTTGGTACAAGTGTTTGCTTATGGTGGAATCATTAAGAAACATCTTTTTATCTTTTATAGAACAAGTTTT